CCGCTGTGCTCGCTCTCTCGTTGATCTGTTGTGCTCCACTGTGCTTGATCTCTCATTGGTCTGTTTTGTGCCGCTTGAAGTGGTTCGGATTCACAGGGATCCTGTACAGGGTTTCTTAGGCTGTACATCTTTACAGGAGCAGAAAACCTCCTCCCTCTCCCAAAGAGCAGCTGGTAGAGCCCAACGGCTGACCTTGCGATTAACAGCCCGGTTTGTAATTCACTAGGTTACTTGTTGTTTACGTCCTTTGTCTTCACACCGGCTCAAGCTTTTTCAGAATGCTGTACCAGCTCGAATGAACCTGAAAACCCCACACAGACGGTTATGACCACACATTTTGTATACACTGCGGACCCCAAGGCACCTACGTGACTTGCCTGTTAGGGACACGGACCCGATTGCAGTGGTCTGGAATCGAACCACAGTCTCTCCCAGGTCCGCCTGTATCTACCACAGCAGATGGTGCAAAGATGAAGACCAATCAAAGCTAAGTGAGGAGACAGAGTCAGGAGTCCCGGTGGCACGGTGGTTAAGTGCTCAGCAGCTAACTGAAAGGTCAGCAGTTCAAACCACCCAGCTGCTCCCAGGGAGAACAATGAGGCAGTCTGCTTGTGTAATATGACACCCTTGGAGATCCTACCTGGCAGTTGTCCTCTGTCCTCCAGGAGTGCTAGGGGGTGCAATGGACTTGATGCCCAGTGGCCTTGGGTTTCAAGGGGACAAAGGCAGGGTGGGAATTCCCTGTGGTAGCAGCACCAACAGATGCTAGATTTGAACACAGAGCAGAGACACAGTCTCCCTCAGGGAAGTCATTGCCCCAGGGTGGGAAGGAGGCTCCTTAGATTAAGCAGATACTGGGGTCCCGCTGGGGGGGCTGCACAGGATGGGGGCTGCTGGGCCCAGGCATCTGCGTCAGTCCTTCCTGCTGCAGCCAGGCCTCCTCCAACTCCCAGGAGGGCAGGAAGCGGATGTTTGCACGGAGCCTGCTGTAAACACTGCCTCACCAGTCCCGGTCTTGGGAGCCTTGTGCACCTGCCGGACCACTCCTCCTTCCTGCTCCTCGTCCTGGCCTCAGTTTCGGGGAGGCTACTGGCAGCTTGTGAGGTGGGGGGCACAAACAGTACCAAGCATCAGCCTCCTGAGGGAACAGAAATGGTGAAAGGGGGAGTGTGGTGTGTGTGTATGCATGTGGTATGTGTGTCTGTGTATGCAGGTGGTGTGCGTCTCTGTGTGATATGTGTAGTGTATGTCTCTGCGTATGCAGGTGGTGTGTGTGCTCACATGATCTATCTATTGTGTTTATGTGTGGGAGTGGTTATGCGTGTCAAGCATTTCTCTATATCCATGTGGTACATGTGTGAGCAGTGTGTAGGTATATGTGCACACATGGTACATGTATGTGTCTGCATTGGAGAGATTGTGTGTGGTGTGCATACATGTATGATATACACAAACATGTATGGAGTATATGTGTATCTTGTGTGTGTGTGTGTGTGTGTGTGTGTGTGTGTGTTTGTAGTGTATGTCTATGTGTGTCCTGACTGGTCCCGCCCCCCCATGCCCCACGTACTTTGCAGGAAGCCATGGCACTCTTCATGGCCCTGGGCCCACCTTCCTTCCCGGACGGGCTGAAGCCAGGCCTGAGGAAGGGCAGGGTAAGGCCTGCCAGGATCTGAGATGGAGCAGCTGTGCCCCAGTGGTGGTGCACACGGGGATACTGGACACACAGGGTAGCACGAGGGGCTTTGGGATGGACGGTTGGTGGGGGTCTGGTGGGATGTTTCTCAGAGGCCTGTCACACTGCCGTTGTTGCCCTAGTTTGGGGCCATGAGGGTGGCAGTTGCCAGCTTGGTTTTAAGCCCACTGTTCCCCTGCATGTGTGAGTGTCGCCCATGCCGCCTCCAACATTAGAATCCTGGGACATCCCAGGATTTCAGAAGTCACTGTGCTGTTGTTGTGAAATAACGTTATGTGGTCCCTACGACCTTCACCATCTTGGCAGTGAAGGTGGGAGATCCTTAGAAGTCAGCTCACTGGCACAGTTGGCATTGTGAGATGACGTCCAGTTGGGCTGACTCACGGTGACCCCACGTACCTTAGAGCAAAGTCCTGCCCGGCCCTGAGCCATCCTCTCAAACGCTGCCATGTGAGCCCATTGCTGCTGCCACGGTGTCAATCAGTGTTACTGGGGGGTCTTCTTCTTTCTCACTGACCCTCCACTTTACCAAGCATGATGTCCTTCTCAAGGACTGGTTCCTCCTGACAACGTGTCCTATGAACTTGAGACAAAGTCTTGCCATACTCACTTGTAAGGAGCCCTCTGGCTGCACTTCCTGCAACACAGACTGATTTGGTTTTCCTTCTGGAATCCAGTTTATGCCGAATATTCTTCTCTAACACCACCCACAATCCCACACCACAACCCCACGGCATCGGGGGTGTTCACGCGTGCCACTTCTGAGCAGTGGTGTTTACATTTAGGTCTTGTATGTCTCAGGAAGGTCTTTGAAGGGAAGTTGTGACATCATCAGATGGTGGTTCTGGACCTGTGGTCTGTCCCCACGGGCAGGCCGAGGGCAGAGCAATGTATCTTTAATGAGATTCCATTTTGTTCTGATGCCTTCTTAATGAGGGCTAATGACATTAATTACTGTCCCCTTCACTTAAAAACACGCTCAAGAGGAGCTAATTGTCACCTAATGGCCCAGGAATGGCCCAGGCCCCAGCTGACCTCACAGGTGACTAGATGAAGCCTGTGTCCCCACTTCTCTGCTGTCCTCTGTCCACCCACCCCAAAGAGCTTCCTCACTACTCTCTCCCCCTTCCACCAGGGCTGTGCTTACCACTCCGCATGCCTGTCCACATTTCCTGGGGATGCTGGACTTTAAACACCAAAGTCCACAGGCTCACACCGCTTGCTCCGTGGGAGGAGCTCCTCTTTGGGGGTGGGTGGTGGGTGGTGCTCTGGCAGTATCTCCCCAAATCAAAGAGACACAGGTGATTTCACCTGGCAGGTTCTCTTCTGGGAAGTTAGTTGTTGTCGTTGTTTCTTGTGTGGTGTGTGAAACATTGTGCAAAGCTTGTTCCGTGTCAGCAGTGACGTAAGAACAAGAAGATCTCTCAATGCCTGTTGGATCCTGGACAGTCATGAAGGGAGTGACGGGAGTTCTGGGGTGGTGCTGTAGGCTAATGCACTGGACTGCAAGGTCGGTGGTTCAAACTCACCAGCTGCTCCTTGGAAACCCTATGCAGTATCGCTATGGGTCAGAACTGACTTGATGGCACTTAACAACTAACACATCTATGGAAGGGTCCCTAGAAAACAGAATTTGTTCAGGTTGACAGATGGGGGAGGACTACCTTCTGGCATGGAGGACTGTCTGTCTCTGCCCTTAACTGAGTGAGCTCCCATTCTCAGTCTCTGGCTGGGAGGCGTGTTCTTGTGGCTGGAGGATGCGTGGAAACCGCTGAGGACTATTGGAAACTGGGAAAACTGGGCGATCGAGGCTGGTCTGAGGAGCAGGGGAGAGCAATGGCTCTCTGTGGTTAAGCAGCAACAATTAGACTGGGTGTTCTTAGCTTTCAGATGAAACCCATCCCATCTCATTCAAAGTCTCTTTTCTCTGACTGTGTCCCCATTACAATTTAGAAGACAGTTCCTTGCTATCTCCTCCATCCCCCCAATAACCTCTCATGTTCTTAGATCTTTGGCCGGTAACTTTTCTATTTTTAAAATCTTTTTCTTACTTACCATTTCTTACTGCTTCATCCAGGCCTTCTCTTCTTCACACTGACCTCGTAGTTCCTTGTGAAGAGCGTTCACTAAACTGGGAGTTAAGAGGCGATCAAACCCCTTTGGTCTCAGTGCTCCTAAAAGTAACAGTGCAATCCTGAACCACCATTTCCCCTCCTTTAAAATGTCAAAAACGGTTTGCTGTCGAGTCGATTCTGACTCACTGGGGACTCTATACACAGAGTAGAATGTCTCCAGAGAGTTTCTGAGGTTGAAAGTCTTTACGGGAGCAGACTGCCTCCTATGCCTCCTATGGAGGGGCTGGTCTTGCAGTTAGCAGCCCAATGCGTAGCCCCCAGCACCACCATGGTTCCTTTCTTCAAAACTGGTGGTGGTGGTAATTATATGCCGTGGAGTGCGTTCTGACTCATAGAGACCCTGTATAGGGTTTCTGAGGCTGTAAATCTTTACAGGAGCAGAAAGCCTTATCTTTCTCCTGTGGAATAGCTGGTAGTTTTGAACTACTGACCTTAAAGTTAACAGCCCGACTCATAACCACTACACTACCAGAGCTCCTTAAAATTAGGAGGTCGGAAAGAATTCCTTTGAAAGCTCCTCCCTAGCTGCAGCAAATGTATTGTGGAGTCAGTTTTCAGGACAACAGCTTTATTTCTTTATACAAGATACACTAAATAGAGCAAGTAATTAATTAATTGGTTAAAAATAAATGCAGGGTAATCTACAGTGCAAATGATTAATGGAAAGTGTGTGTAGTGGCGGTGTGTTCAAGGTCCTTACTAGTTGTCAAATCCAAATGCTTTCTAACCATCAAATTTTAAATTTGGCAATTAGTACTGCCGAGATGCAGAGTCCAGCTTGGGAAGGTCGTGGTGTGTGTGCAGAGTGGATGTGGGTTCTGGGTAAAGTTTGTGTAAGCTAAGAAACCATGGCAACGTCAAGAAACACCTGTCGTGGGCAGCCTACTGCTCAAGGCACAACTGAGCGTGTGCGGTGGCTGGAGAGCTCCTGGCATCAGCTGGAATCTGCCCCATTTCCAAGTGCCTTCTCCTTGGGACATCTTCGGATGACAATGGTGAGCCTTGTCTCTGGAGAGGTGGGGCCATCTGCCACCCAGAAAGACTCAAGGTGGCTCTTCAGGAAGGTGTTACTTTTTCTTCTTCTCCTTTTTCTCTTTCTTTTTCCCTTTATCCTTTCCATTTTCCATGCTCCCCCGAGTTAGGGCCAATGCTCTCTTTTTACCCAGGGGAGTTTTGGCATACCACTCCTGAAAGGAGACAGACATTTAGGAGAAGTTGAAAATGAAAATATGAAAATGGAATACTCTTAAAAATGGAGGAACGCGTTTTAGAAAGGAAGGGGCAGGGAGCTATCATACTTTGGGCATTTGATGTCTGTCTACTACAAACGTTTGGCTGATGGGTTTCCAGTCTGCATTTCTGCATGCTTTGAGGTGTCCACTCAAATGTTAAATGATTTCAGAGAATCATGAGCCTAATCTAACTGACGGTGTGTCCCAGTTAGTCCCCCCGCCCCTGTTTTCATGGTGGGCTTTCCCTGTCCTGAGGGTGTGGGGTTTCTGGGTAATGGTAACAAGATGCTGTACTAGTGACCATGTGTGGGTCACTGAAGCAGGAGACAGATGAACACATCATGTGGTATTGGACCCACACTACCAGCCAACAGCGATGGTACCTGGCCTTGTGCTGGTATTTAAGGAATATCTGTACTCTAAATATGAGAAAGATGTTGACTTATCAGCTTTGGAATGGTAATATTTCACTGAACGAACTGAAGACCGTACATGTTACTTGTCAATTCTCACAGTATTTTTCATTCTGGACAATGCCACAATTCACTTTTCTTACACACTTCCTAGCACACATGTGAATGATGTGGTTGTAACTCTTTACCATGGTGATGAGTGGAAAATGGCACCAGTCTTTGTCTTAGGAGGGTCTTTCTCTCTCCCTGCTCTCAGATGCTAGTTTAGCTGGATATAGGTTGGCCTCCCGGCATATAATGGTGTCAATAAGGCATTGTTATTTCAACTTGGAACTATGATGTGCGTGGGGCAGGCTCAGGTTTTGATTGCTGATGAAACACCTCTGTTGATTTTGACAAGACTTTTGTGGTTTAAATGACATTGTATCATTAAAGACAAAAACAAAAAACAAAGAACAGCTTGGTAAAGTCTGCAGCTGCAGTTGAAAATATTGTGTTTTTTGTTTTTGTTTTTTTAACTTTGCTAGAGCAGGGGTCAGCAAACTATGATCGATGGGCCACATTTGGCCCACTGCCTCTTTTTGTAATTAAAGCTTTATTTGGAACCCAGCCATTCTTTGATGGAGTGTCTGTGGACGCATTTTCACTGCAGTACGAAGTGTCCTTTCTTCACCAGAGACCATCTAACTCTCAAATCCTAAACTAGTCATGATCTGGCCCTTTATGGAAAAGGTTTTCGGGCCCCTATGTAGACAATTAGAGTCCTGGTGTGGTACTGCAGAATAAAGCACTGGACTGCTAGGTCAGTTTGAACCACAAAGTTGGTGGTTCAGACTAACCAGCCACTCCTTGGAAACCCTATACAGGGTCATTATGAATCGGAACAGACTCAGCTGAAATACAGACCATTGCTTCAGGGACCACCATGACAGCTATTTTTCACTTTCCACTGAAGCATGAGTGATAAAACCAAAAAATAAACACAGTCTTTATACTTGGTGGAAACATGATGCATGATAGAGGGAACTTTTTCTGACCTCAGGCAGGCTCCTACAAATGTTGCTGATGTTGCTAGGGGTTGTCTAGTCAATACTGACTTATAGAGACTCTAAGCACAACTGTTGCATTAGGCAAATCTGCTGCACAAGACCTTTTTATAGGGTTGAAGAGCAAAGATGTCAGCTTGAGGACTAAGGTGCGCCTGACCCAGGCCATGGTATTTTCAATAACCTCATATGCATGCGAAAGCTGGACTGTGAATAAAGAAGACCGTAGAAGCATTGATGCCTTTAACTTGTGGTATTGGAGGAGAATACTAAAAGTGCCATGGACTGCCAAAAGAACCAACAGATCTGTTTTGGAAGAAGTGCAGCCAGAGTGCTCCTTGGAAGCCAGGATAGCCAAATTTCGTCTCTCATATTTTGGACATATTGTCAGGACGGACCAGAGAAGGATATCATGTTTGGTAAGGTGGAGGGTCAGAGAAAAAGAGGAAGACCCTTAGCAAGATGGATTGGCAAAGTTGCAGCATCAATGGGCTCAAGCGTGGCAACAATTGTGAGGTTGGCCCAGAACCGGCCAGTGTTTCATTCTGTTGTGCATAGGGTCGCATAGAGTAGGTATTGACTCAATGGGACCTAACAACAACAATAACAAAGCACAACTGCTATGTTTATACTACTCTTGCTGCCACCGTGTTAGTCCATCTCATTTGGATCTTCCTCTTTTTTGCTGACCTTCCATTTTACCAAGCATGGTTTCCTGCTTCAGGAACTGGTCCTTCTTGACAACACGTCCAAAGTACTAGAGACAAAGTCTCCCCATCCTCACTTCTGGGAAGCACTCTGGCCGAACTTCTAACACAGATTTGTTTGTTCTTCTGGAAATCCATAGTACTTTCAATATTCTTCTCCAACACCATCATTCAAATTTGCCAGTTTTTCTACAGTCTTCCTTATTCACTGTCTAACTTTCAGATGCATAGTAGGCAACTGAAATACCATAGTTTGGGTCAGGTGCATCCTAGTCCTCAAAGTGACATCGTTGTTCTTCAACATGTTAAAGAGGTCTTCTGCAGCAGATGTGCACATCTGGCATTTGGTTTCTTGAATGCCGCTCCCATGAGACCTAAAGGGGTTCTTCTTTCTGGTGATCACATGACAAGTGTGATGGTGGCCTTAGTCTACATGGATGGAATTTTTCTGCCTTGATTTTCCTGTTGGCCAAACACACTACCTTTCAGATTCAGAAATGGTGCTCAGATGTGTTCACTTTGATTTAAAAGGAGAGCGGGTGGGGTTTGAGGAGGACCCGCTGGTTGGGCATCAGGGACCAGGGTCCCAGTCTGATTCTCTCTTGCAGCAGTCATGTGTCTGGATAAAGCACACTGTGCCCTCTGACTCTGTCCCTTCTGCACAAGATGTGGATGGAGGAGATGATTCTTAAAGTTTCCTTCAGATCTCAAAATTCTGTGAACTTTTCAGAAAGTATTTGAAGGTTATGGCAAACCAAATTTTGGTGAATTCTCACATGAAGAAGAATCGATGCCTGTGAATTACAGAATTGGTGAAGAATATGAAATATACCATGGGAGAAGGAACAAATCGGTGTTGGATGGAGTACAGCCAGATGCTCCTTAGAATCACAGATGGTGAGACTTTATGTCACGTAATTTGGAGATGTTGTCAGGAGGTACGAGTCCCCGGAGAAAGACTTCATGTTTCAAAAAAATGGAGGGTCAGTGAAAAAGAGGAAGAGTCCCAAGGAGATGGATGGGCACAGTGGCTGCAACAACAGGCAGGATGGGGCAGGACCAGATAGTGCTTCATCCAATGACTGTGAGGATGGGGCAGGACCAGATAGTGCTTCATTCAATGACTGTGAGGATTGGGCAGGACCAGATAGTGCTTCATCCAATGACTGTGAGGATGGGGCAGGACCAGATAATGCTTCATTCAATGACTGTGAGGATGGGGCAGGACCAGATTAGTGCTTCATCCAATGACTGTGAGGATGGGGCAGGACCAGATAGTACTTCATCCAATGACTGTGAGGATGGGGCAGGACCAGATAGTGCTTCATACTATTGCACACAGGGCTGCTGTGAACTGGAACGGAATTGATGGCACTTGGCAACAATTTGTGATTACAAATGATTACGCTTTTTCTTAATGAAGTGTACACAGTAAATATGGGACAAAAACCAACGTGGACACATACTATTGAGAGCTTGTTTTACTCCACGGAAAATTCCTGAGCAGTGAAAATGGTTAATGTGCTCGGCTGCTAACTGAAGATTCCGGGTTCAAGCTCATCTAGAGGTGCCTCATAGAAAAGACCAAGCTATCTAGTTCTGACTGTGTGGATCCTGACAAGCTATGGACAACACTGTGGACAATGAGTATTCCAGAACACTTCGTTGTGCTCAGGAGGAAGCTGTACATAGTCCAAGTTGTAGTTGTTCGAACAGAACAAGGGGACACTGAATGGTTTAAAATCAGGAAAGGTTGTATTCTTTTGCCATACTTATTCAATCTGTATGCTGAGAAAATTTCCCAAGAAGCTGGATTATATAAAGAACATGGCATCAGGATTGGAGGAAGATTCATTAACAACCTGTGAAATGCAGATGATATAAGCTTGCTTTCTTAAACTGAAGAGGACTTAAAATGTTTACTGATGAAGATCAAAGATCACAGTCTTCGGATGGGTTGCACTTCAATGAAAAGAAAACAAAAATCCTCACCACTGGTCCAGTAAAAAACATCATGGTAAATGGAGAAAAGGTTGATGTTGTCAAAGACTTCATTTTGCTCAGATCAACCATCAACTCATGGAAGCAGCAGTCAAGAAATCAAACAAATTATTGCATTAGGCAAATCTGCGGCACATGACCTATTTAAAGTGCTTAAGAGCACAATGTGAGTTTGAGGACTAAGGTGTATCAGACCCAAGCCATGGTATTTTCAATAACCTCATATGCACATGAAAGTCGGACAATGAATAAAAAAGACTGTAGAATAAGTGATACATTTGAGTTATGGTGTTGGAGGAGAATACTAAAAGTACCATGAACTGTAAGGACCAACAAATCTGCGTTGGAAGACGTACAACCAGAGTGCTCCCTGGAAGCCAGGATGGCCAGACTTAGTCTTTCATACTTGGGACATATTATCAGAAGGGACCAGTCCCTGGAGAAGGATATCATGCTTGGTAAAGTAGAGGGTCAGTGAAAAAGAGGAAGACCCCCAATGAGATGGATTGGCACAGTGGCAGCATCAATGGGCACAAGTGTAGCACCGATTGTGAGGTTGGCCCAGCACTGGGCAGTGCTTCATTTGGTTGTGCATAGAGTCACTATGAGTTGGTGATAAGTCAATGGCACCTAACAACAACAACAGCATTTGGGAGTCAGAGGAGCCTTGGTAGCATAGTGGATTACGAGCTGGGTTACTAACAGCAAGGTCAGCAGTTCAAATCTACCAGGTACTGCACAGGAGAAAGAGGAAGCTTGCTGCTCCTGTAAAGATTTATGAACCTCAGAAACCCTAGACATGGTAGCTGTGAGGTGGAACCGAATCCACGGCACACCACCACCACCAGAGTATTTCCAATGAGTCTTGGTGGTAAACTGGGTTATGCGTTGGACTAATAACCACAAGGTCAGTTGTTGGAATTCACCATGTGCTCCATGGGAGGAAGATGGAACAGTCTCGAAACCCTGTTTGTTGTTGTTGGTAGGTGCCATTGGATAGGTTCAGACTCATAAAGATCCTGTATAGGGTTTCCAAGGAGCGGCTGGTGAATTTGAACCGTCGACCATCAGGTGCAGTGCATAATCCCACAATGCCACATCAGGACTGTACGGGGTCGCTGTGAATTGGGACTGACTCGGTGGTGTACCCCCACCCCCACCCCCATCACACTGGGAGTCAACACTCTCTTATCAGCCTCCCACTTGTGTTTCTTACAACTACAGCTTTGGGAGACTCCGCCAGCAGACGACTGCTTACCTTGAAGCTGTCCTCTTCCTCCCGGTACACGGGGTCGAGGCTGGTGATGGCAGAGATGAATTCCACGGCACTCAGAGGCTTCTGGCTCTGCTGCCAGATTCGTCGCTCCGTGAGCACACTCCTGACCACCTGGACGATGTGGCCCTGAGTGAAGCCGTCGGTGACTTTGGCCAGACAGCTAATGTTCAGAGCATTCGTCACGACTCCTCCGTTTCGCTGGATGATTTGTTTCCACAGAACTGTGGCACCCAGGGTGGTAGAGAAGACACAAAAGAATGAGGGTTACTGTGGAAAGAAGAGCACACAGGGGCCTGTTCCAATGCATTTGTAATTCAGACGCAGAGAGAGAGA